CTGCCCAGCCCGGCCCTGCCCGCCGGCCGAGGCGCCCCCGAGCCCGGATCGCGCAGCCGAGAGTCCACAAACAAAGCTCAGGTGGCTTCCCGGCATCCTGGTCCGAATAAAACCAACAAGGCAGGGGGAAACCCATTATTTCTAAGATCTTGCCTCCTCTTCCACGCCCACCTTCGCCTACGATTCTGTGTAGCCGGGGCGCGCCACGGCGGCTCATCTTACATTTTTAACGGGTTCAGAGCCTCTTGGCAGAGCTCGTCTTCCCCATTAGGTTAGAGCAGGCGAAGCTACACGGCCTCTACTCTAGGAAAAGAGGCGTGGTGGGTGCCCAGTGTTTTCAAAGCAGCCACCCATGGCCGACCTCTCGCGCCCACCCAACCGTGGCCATCTGCCTGGGTCCGGGCAGCTCCGGGGTGGCCCCCCGCAGTGGTCTAGGCGCCAAGCACACGCACAATCCCATCCGAAACACCCGAACTGTCTCTTCTTGACCATCTGGAGAGGGTCTTCAAGGACTCACCGAGTCTTCCCACCCCAGGGATACCATTTAAAAGTCGGACGGGTGTGTAATTCCACAGACAGCTAACGAATAAAGGCTTAGAACAGTGGGAAAGCCCCACCGAAAGACACTGTAACCCTTCTGCCCAGCAGATACTGAAACCCTTCTGCCCAGCTCCAGCCAGCCAGCCAGCCAGCAACCTTTCCAAGAACCCAGGGCTTGCCGCCTCAGCATACAATAAGACAGCTTTTCCCTCCTAGCCTTTCTCCACCACCTTCCCCATTCCCCCCACCCCCTCCCCTCCAACAATCACACCAGTTCAGAAATCTTGAAAGCGACTCAATCTCGACAGCAAACACAGAGAGCCACCCAAACACCTTTGTGCCCACCAAACACATTTGCAACCTGACTGGGGGAGGGGGGTTAGCACCTAGCTAGTCACGTTCTGCAAAGCTCCAAACACGCCATTTTAGACGATTTACCACTTCTTTCCTCGCGTCTACACAAGAATTTGCCAGGATTCTCCGGGAACCACTCCTTTGGGGGTGGAGGAGAGGACCCCCCCCCCCCCCATGAGAAATTGACAATTTAGGCTATCGCTTTCCATTCAACTTTCAGACTGGAATCTGGCCACGCTCCTCTCTCCGCCGAAAGCGCCTCGGGCGCGACCAGGAGGGAAAAAGAAGCGTCGGGACTAGAGAAAGACACCAAAGAAATGACCAGAAACACAGGTAGAATTTACCTGCCCGTTCGCTTTGGAAGGCGACGAGGCCACAGCCGCCTCCCCGGGCCTCTCCGCGGTGGCTTCTCCCTTCGCAGCGGTCTTGGAGAACTGGGCACCCATGCTGGCTTCTTCAACAAAGAAACTCAACAGATCCAAGGGGGGAACAAAGAGCCTCCGGTTGGTGTTAACGACGGGGCGAGCGGCAGTAGCAGCGGCGGCGGCAGCAGCGGCGGCGGCAGCAGCACACACACCGGAGGGAGGGGGGAGTGGGGGTGGTGAAGAGGACAGAACAGAACCGATTAAATACACTCCGGATAAAAAAATTTAAGTCGAAGAGATAAAAAAGCAGCAGCGCAGGAGGGAGGGAAAAAGGGAGGAAAAGTCGAGCACAAAAAAAGGAGCCCAAGTGTAGTTTTTAAAAAAAAAAGAAGTAATAAAAAAATCCCAGATTTGTAGCCGCAATGTAGACAAGAGGAAAATGGAGAAATCTCCCTGGTTGCTAATAAGATGCGGGGTCCAACGCCCAAGTGCACAGATGAATGGGCTCGCGGGCGCTGACGCGGCCCCCGCGCGCGCCGGCCAATCCGCGCACCGCACACAAAGCAGGGGGCGGAGCCTGCGCGCCCGGCGAACAATGGAGCCGCGCTTTGCAAATGGTTTGAAAATCAGCCTCAGACCGAGAATTAATGTCCTCCAAATAAATAAATCAATTAAAAAATACATGCCTCTCGCCTCCCTCTGCTTGAAAATAATAATGCATCACTTGATTGGCTTGCTTTGTTTGGAATTAATTAACGCGGGAGGGGGGTACTTGTGGCTGGGGGCGGAGAAAGCGTTAACTTGACTCGCTTTGACTCTTGTCGGTCTGTATCCGTGTCTGTCTCTCTCCACTCGCTCCCCTCCCCCATCTTCCCTGTGTGTTTATGTGTATGTGTGTGTGTATGCGAGTGTTAAAGACAATGGTTAGGATTTGTGTGCAGCATGTTTTCTTTCTCCGTGTTCCATATTGGTTTCACAGATATTGCACAGGGTTTGTTTCTTTAACGGTTGCAAATGTTATATCGCCCCCGAATTGAAAGGTATTTAAACCACGAAGATCGAATTTCATCAAACGACATCTCGAGTTAGAATTAGGTCTGTAGGCCAGATGTGGAAAATGCAAAAGCGGCAAGGAGCCTAAGCCACACTCCCTTCCCTATCCCGCATTGGCATGAAATAAAATATTTCGATATTGGCCTGCGACGCTCATCGAATCCCCCCACTCCCGACTATTGCCAAATAGTGATTTTTTCCCCCACAATATAAAGTGAGGGCCATTTACAAAAGATCATAACGGTTCGCATTTTATCACTGTTCATATGAAATGACAATTTTTCTCTATGGTGAAACGACACACAGCCTCGAGTGTATGAATCCAAATACGCGGTTGGGAAGCAATTCACGTAGATATGAATCATTTTCAGCCGATTGCCAGGATCGGATGGACTCTTTCTGAACATGTGTAAGTGTGCATGCAAGCGAGCGTGTTCTTTCTTGGAAGGGAGGGAGGCAGCAGCGATGAAATGCTAAACAACCGGATTGACGATTACAGTTCTAACGAGAAACTGCATGTTGAAAAATAGCAAGAAGATGCCTGAACGCTCCGGTCTAGCTTGGGTTAGAGAAAAAGCTTCTGTAAGGGGACACAGAGCACCTCCATCTGCACCCCTCGCCACCAAAGAACTAGACGCTATTTGTGTGTGAAAGACAAGGCACTGATTTAAAGGGGAGGAGGCGGTCAAAAATCAAGGATACAGCCTAATAAACATTCTCCTACCGCCTACATTTTTGCTCCCAGAGTTTTCACTCGTTTCCACATCAGACCCTTTTCTCGTTTACGGTTAGTAATCCTGAAATGAATAATCTTTTGCTTATGGAGAGGAGAAGCAGTCGAGAGAATGGTTCATTTCTCCTGGTGTTGGCTCGGAATTCTCACAGTTTTATTTTCTGCTTATTGTAGGGAAATGGGTCACACTTTGAGTGAAAAAGATGGTTGGTTCAAGCCAATAACTCTTTGTTCAAGTATTGCTTTGAAAATCACCAAGCTGTACATCGTTACACGAAGCTGCGTCTTCTCACTGTCCACTGCCTTCAGATGCATCATTCACTCACGAAGTCATATTCCCCAGAGCTGATGGAAAGACGTTTCCGTAGAAGTGTATCCTGCCAAACATGTTATCACCCTTAAGGGAGCCCGCTGGCCTGGCCCAAGCCCCCAGCCGCCGAGGTGGACGCGAATTTCTTGTATTAGCGGAGTTCCAACTTGAAAACCCAGCTGGGCTGATCCAAAACCACCATCCAGGCGATTCCCAAAAGCTCATTTAAGGTTGTTGCTAGCCCCCACCCCCAACGTGAATCATGCCCCTTCCTCTGCATCCCCCCTCCTAGTTTTAACTTGGGGGGGATTGCTAGCTCGCTTTCGGATTTTCTCGCAGACGCGTCCTCAGCCCTCCATTTGGGGGCTGCTTTTATTGCTCCTTTGTTACCAGACTGCCGTGTAGCTTTCCCCCCTTTTCTTTCTCGAATGCCTATTTGCCTGGTATCGGCTTGTCTCCCTGGCAACGGCCACGAAAGATTCGGAGCCCCGGACGGGGGGAGGGGAAAGGGGCGGAGCCGGGGGGGTGGTCAGGGAGTGGTGGAGGGGAAAGAGAGGCCGAGCGAGAGACAGTCAGACAGCGTAGCAGATGGCCGCGCGAGGGGGCGGGGTCCAGGCGGAGCGCGGGGGGACCCCAAGCGTCGGGGCGCGAGGGAACCAATCAATTCCTGCAGCCGCTCCGGGGCTAGAAAACAAGTGTAGACGCAGAGATTCGCGCCCCACCAGCGGTCCCTAGTTTACGGTAGAAAACACGATTTCCTTTCGATACGAAAGCGCGTGTAGAGCGTAGTTCGGAGAGCCGGCGGTCCGCAGTAACTGGCTGGGGGAGGCGGTTTGCGGCTGCCCGGGGCGCTGAGCGCTGGGGCAGTTTCTCCTGACCTCTCCCTGCGTCGGGCCAGCCAAGGGGAAAGCCTCGAATGGGAGAGAGGGGTGAAGGCAGAGGATGGGTGAGGAAGGAAAGGGCTGAGAAATGGCAAGAGCCCATCCTGCCTCGGAAACTACATAATGGCAGGGAAGGACCGCCAGCAAGACTGGAACCAGTACAAGTTGCACAGTTGTGAGTATACAGTCCCTCAGGAGTTGGGTGTTCTCGCGCCCAGAGCTAAAGGTTCCAGATCAAACGCTAAGTGTACAAATATGATTATTTATCTAAATATAATTAAAGAACCCCAGAATGCACGGTGAAAATGTAAAACAGGTAAATCCCCGTAACCAACTCACCGAGAGTAACAGGTATTTTTTTTTTTTTTTGTATTCTTTTCACCTAGGACTAGGCTCTTTATTTCTCAACGTTTTTATTTATTTTTGGGACAGAGAGAGACAGAGCATGAACGGGGGAGGGGCAGAGAGAGAGGGAGACACAGAATCGGAAACAGGCTCCAGGCTCTGAGCCATCAGCCCAGAGCCCGACGCGGGGCTCGAACTCCCGGACCGCGAGATCGTGACCTGGCTGAAGTCGGACGCTTAACCGACTGCGCCACCCAGGCGCCCCTAGGCTCTTTATTTCTAAGATGATGGTAATCTGTATATGATCCTAGCAAAAGAAATATTTATTTAGAATACCTCAAAGTTATTTTTCCCTTAAATTGTTAGCACTGGAAGGAATGTTTAGAGATATTTACACAAATTCTTGGGGGTCTTACTCTGTGCCACACGTACCGATCTAGGCCTTGTTTTCACATCAGTGAACAAGACAGATGCGGTCCCTAGCCTCAGGGAGCTTACATTTTAGTAGATCGTCTAGTTTCATCCCCCCACCAGGTGAAAAAGCAGGCCTATGGAACTTGCCAGATTTTGTCGGAAGGTAGAAGCAGGAATGGAGCTCACCCCCTTGATTCCAAGTCCCCAGCTTCTTCCACTGCTGTCTGGTGCTGTCTGGCCTTCACCTGATGGCACATATTCACTGGGTAGTTCCCCTCATTGGTTCCTAATTTTATTTATTTATTCAGCTGCTGCTAAGTACCAGGAAGAGGGCTAGACATCAGCTGACACCAGAAGTACAAGGGCATGGTCTTTCCTCTCATGGAGCTCTGGCCTCATATTATTATCTCTTAAAACTTCTTAGAATGTGGAGAAAGAGAACAAAAGACAAGATTGTGTGCTAAAACAAACAAAAAATAGTAAAGAGGACCGTTGTCTAGATTCCAAATTAAATATGCCTTTTTCATTCGAAAGCTTTCATTCATTCACAGGGCATGAGATCCTACTGTGTTTATGGTGTTGTGCTCCATATTTCATCCTAGATTTTATAGTACCTGCCCTTCAATTCCACTGAAATTGATTAGTTTGGAATATAGTGAGTAGCAAAACAGACGTAGTCTCTCATTCGTTCAACAGATATTTATTGAATTTCTAGCATGTGCCGGACATTTGGAACGTATCAGGGAACAAAAGAGACAAGAAATCTTTACGGACCTTACGTGCCAGAGTGGAGAGAAAAACAAAACTTCATAACTATAAATAAGCAAAGTATATGGAATGTTAGAAGCGTGGAAGTGTTGTGAGGAGGGGGGAGCCAGAGGAAAGTAAGGGAAATGGCAGAATCGAACACTGAGATTGCAAATCAGTTTATAACTGTGAGTGGTCATATGTGCTCTGAAGGGAGATGCAGGGTGCTATAGGATAGTCTAATTTAGTTAGGAGAGTTAAAGAAGGCCCTTTTAAAACAGTGACGTTTAGGGACACTTGAGTGGCTCAGTCGGTTGAACGGCTTCGTGTTCCATGGTTTTTGCTCAGGTCATGATTCCAGGGTCCTGGAATGGAGCCTCGCATCCGGTTTGGCACTGAGCGCGGAGCCCCTTTAAGACTCTCTCTCTCTCTCTCTCTCTCTCTCTCTCTCCCCCCCTCCCTCCCCCTCTGTCCCTCTCCCACATGTGTGTGCTCTCTCTCTCTCTCTCTAAAATAAAACATACTAAAAAAAATGTTGAAGGGGCATTTGGGTGGCTTAGTCGGTTTAGCGTCTAACTCCGGCTCAGTTCACAATCTCATGGTTTGTGAGTTTGAGCCCCATATCCAGCTTTCTGCTGTCAGTATAGAGCCTGCTTAAGATCCTCTGTCATGTCTCTCTCTGCCCCTCCCCTGCTCTCTCTCAAAAATAAATGAACATTTTTTTAATGTAAAAAAAAAAAAAAAAAAAAAAAAAGCAGTGACATGTAAGTGGAAACCTAAGGGAAAGTAGGCATTACTTAGGTAAAGAGTTGGAGAATTTTGTTCAGATGGACAAAATAGCAAAGCTCCTGAGGAGGAAAGGGTTCAAATGGGTTTGGGAGGAAGCTCAAGTGATTAGTTTGGACATATTTTGACATGCTCGTAAAACATCTTAGTGGAAAAATTAAATGTGCAGATATAAGAATCTGGAGCTCAAGACTGGTTTGGAATATAAATATATATAGATTTGTGGCCATTCCATATATAAATATTTTCTGAAGTCAAGTCTGAGAACATGCGAAAGGCAAGAGATTCCAGAATCACACCCTGAGTAACTTCTTTAAGAGGCTGGGTAGAGATTAGCCAGTTATATCTCAAAAGAGCTAAAAAAAAAAAAAAAAAAAAAAGAATTTGATAGTATAACATAAAATAAAATAATAAAACTATGAATAGAAAAAGAGAGAGAGAGAGAGAGATGGGGTAGAAAAAGAGCCTAGCTGGCCAAGAAGACTGCGAAGGAACCCCCAAGGAGTAGACAGAAAACCAGGAAAATGTGGCGTCAGGAAAAATCAACGGAGATTGTGTTTCAAAGAGTAGTGGTTAGTTTTGTAAAATACTGGTGAGAAGTCAAATAAAATAAAGACTGAAAAGTTTCCATTGGATGTTGCTGGCTTTAGAACAGGATTCTGTATACAGAATACAGAAGTTATGAGTAACAGGCCCCAGAGAAGCTTTTACAGTATGTTGAGAATGGAATCCTGATTCGGTGTTGAAGAGTAAATGGTAGGTGAAGAAGATGACAGCATAAATGGCCCTTTCTTTATGAAATTCGACGGGGTAGAGTGTGGAGAGACAGGGTAGTAGCTAGAAAGTGATGGTATACTGCTTTTTTGTTTTGGGTTGTGTCGTCTTGAATGGAAGATATTAGAGCAAAGTTGACTGCTCCGGAAATTAATGCAGTAGACCTTTCTACTGTAGGTAGATATATGCAAGATATAAGCGAGAAAAGGAGTAATGAATGGGATGAGGTTCCCTAAGAATACAGGAGGGGATGGAGATATAGGGCACATGCTGAGAAACTGGCTTTTGAGAGACCCTGTTCCTTTCCTTAAAAAGGGAAAGAACAGGATGGCTACAGATTTACTAGACGGAAAAATGGGAGAATTCCCTTCTGATGGTTTCTGTTTGTCCTTGGAGCCATTAGCTAAGAGTGAGGGAGACTTGGAGTTTAATTGTGTTACAGAAGGTGTGGAATGACGATTGGGAAACATAGGATTGAGATTTGGGGGCACAGTAAGATTTCAGAGCAATCATGCGTGCCCATTTGAGGTTGATAAATCCTACTGATGCCTCATCGGCATATCAAGCTTTCTCATGTGATGATTTAACTGAACGATGGTGTCCATTACAGCCCTCTTTAAAATCACCAGCCATTCACTTTCTCAACCTATGTCCAAATTGTGTTGCACGCATACAGTCAATAGCTGCACAGAAGTAAAATATGGATTAAAATGACTCAGAGCTCATAATGCTCCATTACGGTTAATCCTATATGATTTCATGCAGATGTGTATAAACTTAAATAGAAAGGGAAGAGAATTTACTGTGTGCCAGGCACTGCACTGTGTGAGCCTATGCTAGGCTTGTGTTTCACTCTAACTACAAACCCCATGGACTCATATTGTTATCTCCATTTTACAGATTTGGAAATTGATGCTCAGCAAGTTTGAAAAGTGAAATACCGCTAGTGTGTTAGCCATTGTCTATTGAGGGGTGTCTGATTTTAGGACTCTCATAAGGTCTCAATTGGTTGTAACATTGCAGTGGGACCAAATATTTTTGTATGTAGTAGGAGCTTTATTAATTTTTTTCATTCGTACCGAATACTGAAACTTTCTTTAACTTTAAGCTTTGTTTTAGTGCTCCTTATTAACTGTCCAATACCACTCAAATAGAAAGATTCTTGCATAGTCAGGAAACATCAGTGTCACTGGTTATCTGATCTGGAGACTCAAGGACTAACACCTGTACAATAGGAATGAAGTTTCTGGAATGTTGAATGCCTTCCAGATGCATAGGTGATTACTACAAAACCACTGTAAGTGTGAGTATATTTTTAGCCACTGCTCTTCAGGCCTCTCAGTTCAATTAGCATAAGATTTTATATTTGAAAAGGTTACCAAAGGGTGGGATACATTCTAGATTATAGAAGGGTAAACAAAAAGCAGGAAAAATTAAAATTTTAAAGGAAAAGTTTTCTCCAGAAATTCTCAGTCGAAGCTTTTCTACAGTCGCATTTCCTAGAATTTGTAATATTTACTCTCCAGGGGTCGGCCGAAAACTTTCCATATCATCCCATGAAAGAACAGAGTTGGGAGAGGGAGATAATTACCGTCTCCTCTTTGTTTCCAAAGGTAACAGACAACTAACAGAGAGCAATCAAAGTTTACATTAAAAAGATCAGGTTCCTAGTCTTACAGAATTACCTAATTAATTGGCCGACCAGAAGTGACAGTAAAATTCATATGGAAAAAAGTTGACTTTTCAGGCGTGATAGCGTAGGAACCATGCAAAGCATAATTTTTCATTGTTATTTGAAAGCCATAAATACTTTCTGATATTAAAAAGTAGATTAACTTCCTGCCTAGAATGAGGTACTTGAACTGTGTGTTTCTTGAAATTAAAGTATAGAGTTATATCAAACATTTATTTTTATTCCAAACGATGATGTCGTGTTTTTTTTTTTTTAAAGAAGGGTACGTTTAACCTTTATAAATCACTTGTTGCAATCTGTAAATGGACAAGTTTTTATTAAGCTGCTGCTAAACCAGACCTGTTAGGTCTGCTCCAGTTGGATGGATCTTTCAAGTATGTTCAGCACACTCTTAGGCTTTCGGATGGGCTGACTGAGAAGGTCACTGACACTCGTTTGCTCAACAGATAGTTATTAAGTATCTACTTTATACCAGGCACTGCTTAGTGCTTTGCCTACTCTGCCTTATTGAATCCCCAAGGTAATCTTACAAGGTAGAAACCATTATTTCCATTGTATTCCAAACCAAGTCCTCCAGGCGTTACATAACAGGCTGGAGTTTTTGCTGCTCATAAGTGGTCTGGGCTGGGTTCTGTATCCAGCTCTTGGTAGTTCCAAAGCCTGTGACACTGTTTCCCTGGATACCATGCTGCCTTAGAGAGAATAAGAATTTTATGGGACGTTTCCAGTTCTCTTGGAGGCTACAAAAATGCCCGAGACACTAGAAATTAACCAAAGAATATGAAACTTTATTTATGCATCCCGAGAGAAGTATCTAGGGCCACATCCATAAAATGAGAATTTGCATTTAAAGAAACACACACACACACACACACACACACACACACACACACACAGAATCTCAGGTCAGATTCTTGACCCTGGAAGCATACTTGGTAACTTTATCCAGAATACAGTCACCACAAATTAGATTGTGTGTAACTGAATAAAAACATGGTTAGGTTGCACCCAGAATTTACCTCTACCTTCCCTAGGGACAAAAGTGTGTGTGCTGCTTAAGGGAGTGAAGTCACTTGGAATGTAGGTAAAAGAGTGTGTCGAACTACAGAGAGGAAGTTACAGTTGGGAAGGAAATCCACATGAGATGTGTGGCTGGGACATGAGATTAGAGGTGAGAGGGTACAGACAGACCTTCACAGTGCCGCTCTGGGAAGATGGTAAGGGTGCCTGGGAAGGAAGCGAATCTCAGCAGGAAACGGAGGGGTGATGACAATGAGGCATTCTTCCATTACGGACACAGTTGGAATTTGATTTATATTTTGGTTGTAGGTACAAATGTTTCAAGTTAAAGCAGTTTTGCATATATTATTTCATTTAATACCTACAGTAAATTCAAATACCAATTAAGTTAATCCCCTCTTATAAGAAAGTTACATAATTTGCTTGAAGTCCTGTCTTTAACTGGCCAGATCAGCCAGTGCCTGTGGTCTGCAGGGACGGGTCGACTTTCTCATTGCCCCATTCTGCTGTCTCTGTCCTCGAGGGGCATATGCCTTCTACTCCTATCCCACTTTGATATTTAGTAAAAAAGATAGTCACGGCATGTTTGTAATCGATTTTGAGTTTTATTCTCATTGCTTCAAATACTGCTTCTATGCCGATGAGACTACAGTCAGCATTTCCTGTCCTAACAGCTAACGCAAATCCCAGATCTTCATTTTCTGCTGCCTCCTTACTGAGCTGGGCATTGCCTTGTGTATATTTCTTACCCCCGCCTCAAATTGAGGTTATCATTTTCCCATCCAAATTAGCATCATGTTCTGAAAGAATTTCATTAGGTTTCTTGGAGGCGTTTTTGAATCATTCCTCTCCCACATTTTCCAGGCAAAGAACAGAACCAGATATAAGACCTCAGAAGGGTTCAGTATGGCTAAACACTCTACTACCAATTAGAAATAAAAACTAAAACAGGGGCGCCTGGGTGGCTTAGTTGGGTTAGCGTCCGACTTCGGCTCAGGTCATGATCTCGCGGTCCGTGAGTTCGAGCCCTGCGTCAGGCTCTGGGCTGACAGCTCAGAGCCTGGATCCTGCTTCTGTGTCTCCCTCTCTCTCTGCCCCTCCCCCACTCATGCTCTGTCTTTCTCACTCTCAAAAATGAATAAATGTTAAAAAAAAAATTAAAAAAAAGAAGTAAAAAGTAAAACAAAAAATTACCTAACAAACTCAAAGCTTGACATTTTTGCTTGTTTGGGCAACCTGTAAACCTGTCTTTCCCCAGACACCATCTTTCTTTCCCATCTTTTTAAACACGTGATCCCTTGTGTTGCCTTTTCTCCCACTCAAATTACCATTGATTTGACTTTGCAAAATATAAAAATAGTTAAATAGCAAAGAGAGGACTGGAATTCTCTCTCTATGTTTTACTGTAGCCCAGAACACCTCATGGATCATTCTTGTCAAGTTATGTTGCTTTTTTTTTCTTTCAAACATCTCTGGTATTGTCTCTCTTCTCAGTTTCAAACTTTAAAATCAGAGCTCAAGGTTCTTGATTCTTTTGTCTGAATTACCTCGTAGGTAGTCTCTGCCTGCTCCAGGGCCTTCTATTGCCACAGTCATCTCCCCTGTAACTCCCTTGATCAAAAATCAGCAAGATTCTGTCCATATAATCTCTCTTTTTAAAAATTTTTTAATGTTTATTTATTTTTGAGAGAGACAGAAAGATAGAGTGTGAGTGGGGGAGAGGCAGGGAGAGAGGGAGGGAGACACAGAATTCGAAACAGGCTCCAGGCTCCGAGCTGTCAGCACAGAGCCCGACTTGGGGCTGGAACTCACAGACCGCGAGATCATGACCTGAGCCTAAGTGGGATGCTTAACCAACTGAGACACCCAGGCGCCCCATGTCCCTATAATCTCTAGGCAGAGGCTAGTTTGGGTCACTGAGTAGCAATATATTAAACTGTCCCTTACAATTGTTTTATCTGCCTCCTGGCAAAGAACTAGTAATTACAAGATCTTAGTATAGCCCCATTTAATGTACTTTATAGAGAGAAGATTGAAGAACTTAAGGATACTTCATAATTTCAAACAATTTAAGAAACGAGTTCTCTACCAGCTTCTTTCCTTAGGCGTTAAAAAGGAGCAGGTCTCAAGGGGAGTGTGAACTGATCTCCCTTTCTGCTGAGGAGAGAATCGTAGTTTTGAACTTTCTATGTCCTTTTCCAGGTTTGTGCATTTGACTCAGCTACAGCAGTAGTTGCACCGGGAGGGGCAAAATGTCACCCAAGAGGTAGAGAAGAAAAAATAGCAATTGGTAAGTAATAGACATTTCCTCCCGATTGTGTAGATAAGACAGGTTTTTTCTTCTTGATCAAAATATTTTTTCTTTTTTTTTTTTTTTTAATTTTTTTAACGTTTATTTATTTTTGAGACAGGGAGAGACAGCATGAACGGGGGAGGGTCAGAGAGAGAGGGAGACACAGAATCCGAAACAGGCTCCAGGCTCTGAGCTGTCAGCACAGAGCCCGACGCGGGGCTCGAACTCACAGACCGCGAGATTGTGACCTGAGCCGAAGTCGGATGCCCAACTGACTGAGCCACCCAGGCACCCCTCAAAATATTTTTTCATGTTATCAGCATTTCATTTTCTCATACCAACACTTTTTTTTGGCTGGGCCTCTTGTTTTTTTCCCACTGTACTTTAAATGTCCTAAGTGTTTCTAGTGAGTTTAAACTATACACTGTCTATTAATTGACTAAAACAGATAGTGATTTTCTCTACATTTGTTTTATATTCTTTTCACCAGATGCAAAAATATCTCTGACTTTTGAAGTTACAAAATCTGTATTATTATCATTGTGATGTTTTGAGAGTACCCCATAATAAGCAAACAAAGAACTGTTATATTGTAGATATTGTCATTACTTTATTTTTTGATGTTTATTTATTTTTGAGGGAGAGAGAGACAGAGTGTGAGTAGGGGAGGGGCAGAGAGACAGGGAGACACAGAATTCCAAGCAGGCTCCAGGCTCTGAGCTGTCAGTCCAGAGCCTGACGCAGGGCTTAAACTCAGGAGCTGGGAAATCCGACCTGAGCTGAAGTTAGATGCTCAACTGACTGAGCCACCCAGGCACCCCTTTGTAAAAAAATTTTTTTAATGTAGACATTGTCACTACTCTTTAAAAAATAATTTGATTTTCAATTTGTCTTTTTATTGACACACTCAAAATACTCATTCAATTTAGTAAGGGAAAACAGTAAAAACTTGACACAATATAGGCAAATATCTGCCTATATTGTTTTTTCCATATTTTTTCATTTAATTCTTATTTAAGAACTTATTAAGCCCTTAATTAGTCATCAGGACTATTTCATGAAACATATTAAAATGTGGTTAATGTCACTGTATGGTTATGTATTATATTGCATATTATATACACACATATATGTTATATAAGATACTGTTTATATAGTACATTATATGTTATAATATATAATATAATTATGAGTGTATGGTTATGCATAAACAGGATAAAATATGAAGTTAAGAATATGGATTTCCAGGGGCACCTGGGTGGCTCAGTGGGTTGAGCATCCAACTTCGACTCAGGTCATGATCTTGCGGTCCATGCATCCGAGCCTCGCGTCAGGCTCTGTGCTGACAGCTCAGAACCTGGAGCCTGCTTTGGGTTCTGTCTCCCTCTTTCTCTCCCCTCCCCCGCTCACACTCTGTCTCTCTCTCTCTCTCTCTCTCTCTCTCTCAAAAATAAATAAACATTGAAAAAAATTTTTAAAATACTGATTTCCGTTGTCATTATATTAGCACTTATAGGAACAAGCAGTTCACTTTATCACTTTATCAGAAGCCATCAGACCAATGCCAATCTTCAAATCAGTCTGGGGAAAATTTCTCTTTGGGGTGGACCTTATAAGCCACATGAGAAACTAACTCTGTCTCAATACTTCATAATTATACTATATGATGATGATTTTTATTACTATACTCTATCACCCACTTTGATCACTGACTTTAATAACACTAACACCTTCTAGGTACATTAAACATTTCAGTATTCAATTAAGTTTCAAAATATAGGTTTATTCACCGTGCCTTTGGCTGTTTCTAAAATTACTACTTGTCTTTAGAGAATTTACCGCTCCCAGCATGAAACAGCTGTGGTGTAGTAGGACTACAGGATTTGAGGACAAGAGTTCAATTTCAGGTTCTGTTGGTAGCTATGTTGTGACCTTCCACAGTTGACTCAGTTTCCTGAACCCAAGTTTCCTCCTTTGTAAGATGTGGATCAAAATTCCTCTCTTAAAGAGTTGTTAAGATTATGTATTATTGGGGCGCCTGGGTGGCGCAGTCGGTTAAGCGTCCGACTTCAGCCAGGTCACGATCTCGCGGTGCATGAGTTCGAGCCCCGCGTCAGGCTCTGGGCTGATGGCTCAGAGCCTGGAGCCTGTTTCCGATTCTGTGCCTCCCTCTCTCTCTGCCCCTCCCCCGTTCATGCTCTGTCTCTCTCTGTCCCAAAAATAAATAAACGTTGAAAAAAAAATTAAAAAAAAAAAAGATTATGTATTATTATCATCGTTGTTTTAAGGTGTGCTTTGTGAGAAGTTTTCTGTTGAGATTTGAACAAAAATAGGAGAGACAATGAATATTCTGAGGTAACACATGTAACAGAGGTGGCACCTAGGAAGTAAGCTCTCAATAAATACTGGGTGTTCTTTTCATCTTGGAAAAAGGGGATTTGGTAAAAAAAAAAAAAAAACCCTGAATCGATTTGGAAGTAAAATAAATAATCAAAGCATCTATCAGCAGAACAGTTATTAAGTACTTATTTGTAAAGTAAGGATTTGCAGTGAACCCGCCATTTCTCAACCTCTCCCGTGGGCAGAATTCCCAAGGGAGAATTCCCAGAATTCCCAAAGGGAGAAGCTGACAAGAGACTACAGAAGGCCCTAGAAGGCCTGTCGTAGAATGGGCGATTCCATGTGAGTAGTTGTCTTTTTCTTCCAGCCAGCCAACGGCTCTCATGAAGCAAGTGGGATTATATTTCTTAATTAATGTCAATTTTAATTAATGTTTAGACTTCTACATGATTAAGCAAATGCCATATCCCCACATTTTGCTTTCCTTCTATCTTTTCTTAATCTATGCTTTTCCTTAGATATCCTACAAACCAGAGTTGTTTAATATAAGTGGTTGTTTTGTCCTCTTTCCTTGGACATCTCATCCGGTCTTCGTGGGGAAAGCCAGCAGAGAGAGTCAGGGTAAAGGACAATTAGAAAAATATGCACCATTAGACTTTTTTAAATCCCACCGTCCTCATAGAAGTCCAGAAAGAATAATGAGCTTTCTTCAGGTTCTCTGTCTCGCTCCTTTTTTTTTTTTCCCTGAGAGCCAATTAAAAATCTTGTTAGCAGCAGTCCGTTAACTTTATTTGTACCCTGGATTTCTTTGGGCAATATTTTGTTATCCTTATGCAAATTTTATTTTTGCATGTTTTTTCTTCCAATCTTGAGAAAAAAAAATATTAAAAAGAGATAATTTTCAACAATTGTAATCCTCACAGTGATTATGACTGTCATCATGATTACAAAATGTGAAATGTGTGAATATGGCCGGAGGCAGGGCTCTGTCTAGTGGAGCAGTTAAGAGTTCTGGAATCGAATACACTTAGCTTTGGGTCCAAGCTCTGTGAGGTCAGCGTTGATATCATTTCAATCATGGGAGAGATACCGAGGCTGGGGAAGGTGAAGCAATTTTCCCTAGAGTGCCCTGCAAATACGTAGCAAAAAGTGATCTCAGAGGCCTGGTAACTGGGTTTAAACATTCCCTTTCCCTTACAGAGCAACAACCTTGGAATTCGTAGAAGATTGGATGTCAGTTTCAAATCTTGTTCCCTGTATTGCAGAGGCACCAGTGTCACGTGATTCAGGGTTGATGTCCAGCCCAGAGCATGGCTGTCCCGAAAGTGTCATAGCAGTAGTGGCCCTCTGGAGCTGTTGTTTCCTCTAGGAAGAAATACAGCCTTTTAGGTGAGGCCTGTACTCAGTATTATACGTTTCAGTATTAGAAGTTAAGCTTCTGTATTAGTTTAACCTTATAAAAACTAGAGCTATTCACATAAATATGAAAAATAAGGAAAAGAAATGAATGTGTCACAAAAGAAAACTCTAGACTTTGTAACTGCAGGTTTAATATATGACCAAGTAGCTCTGCATAAGGTGGGAGCTAT